TGTTGTTTAGTGCCGTCAAGTCAGTTCCGACTTATAGAGACCCTGTATACAGTTTCCAAGGAGTGGCTGGTGAGCTTGAACCACCAATCTTGCAGTCCATCATGTTAACCCACAGCACAACACCAGGATGCCATTACCCTTTGTTGTTGTTGTTGTTAAGTGCCGTCGAGTCGGTTTCGACCCATAGCGACCCTGTACAGGGTTTCCAAGGGTGTAAATCTTTACGGGAGTAGAAAGCCTCATCTTTCTCCCGCGGAGCAGCTGGTAGTTTTGAACCGCTGAGAGATGCAAATCGAAACAACAATGAGGGATCATCTCAACCCAGCATTAATAGTGAAGTTTAAAACTACAGAATAGAACGTATGTTGGCAAAGGTATGGAGGGATCGGAACCCTCACAAACTGTTGGCCAGATTATAAAATCATGCAGGATTATAAAATTATAAAATCATGTGGAAGATGATCTAGCGCTTCCTCAAACAGTTGGCCCAGTAATCCCTCTGGGTGGTATATATCTGGAGGATCCTAGAGGTCATATGCTGAGTGAAATAAGCCAGTCGCAAAAGGACAAATGTTATATAAGACTACTATTGTAAAAAGTTCCTCCCAAGGGAGTAGTAAATCTTATAGGCCAGGAACAGAGGACCCTAGGACCATCAAGGGAAATGAGCATGAGCGGAATGTGGGACCCTATCCAGAGAAGTAGCCACCCCAGAGATGGAGGCAGAGATGAAGACCTGGAGAGGACTCTAGACTCATGGAAAGAGAAAGGCTGTGTGCTGGGGACCAGGAGGCAGGCTTGCAGAGTGTGCATTTTGGTTGTTTAAATGATTATATATTCTTGAGTGTGTTTGTGTACAAAAAAACAAAACAAAACAGGGAATAGAAGCAAATACTGTTGAATGAGGATGCTCGGAGGGGATTATAATCATAGCAATGAAACAATGAGTGTAAAACCGATGTTCTCCCAGGTAAACTATCACTCAATTCACAATAAAAACTAACCGCCCCCCCCAAAAAAAATTATTTTCACACTGACTGAAAGATACTTTCTTTAGTGTTTACCAAGGGTGGGACAGGAGGGTTGGGTGGGTCACTAGCTTGAGGGTTGTTATTTTTTGTGCCATCGAGTGGGTTCTGACTCATAGCAACCCTCTATAGGGTTTCCAAGAGAAGCTGACAGGTTTGAACTGCTGACCTTCCCGTTACCATTCCATTGCTTACCATGGCAACACTGCATAGGGTTTCTGTGGCTGTTAATCTTTATGGGAGCAGAAAGCCTCAGCCTTCTCCTGCGGCACAGCTGGTAGTTTTGAACTGCTGATTGAGGTTAACAGCCCAACTCGTAACCATGAGGCTACCTGAGTTCCTTTGACTCTTTATTTTTTCCTTTGACTCTTGAATGGTGGTTTCCATTTGCTCAGGCTCGCAGGAAGCCAGGTCAGTAGTAACAGTGAGAACGTGGACAAGGGGATGGAAGCTGAAGACACAGGTTGTTGTTGTTTAGTGTGATCAATCATTGCTTAGAAAAGTGGGAGGGCAAATGAACTGGGGAAAGAATATACGTGCTGAACTGAGCACTGAGGACTACGTGAAGTTGGAGATGATGAATTATAAGTGGCACTGGGTAGTATCGGTGCATAGAGATTGGGTGAGGAGGCAGTAGCTGTTGATGACAGGCAGAGCTCTTGACTCCCCTCACTACCCTTGGTCAGCAGGGTGGACATGTACCAGGTCAATCATTCTGCGATCCTTGACCACAGAGCTGCCTTGGGACTTTGCTGGAAGTTTGGCAAATCAGACAGACCATCTGCACCATGAAAAGAAAGGATGTGTGTCCTAGAGTCAATTATCTTAATGGGTACAAAGAACCAAAGCAGTGTGTGGTCCACAGTAGTCACCATCTCAGCGGATATCCCAGAAAAACCAACTGTGAGTTTAGAAAAGACCACCACTTATCTGTCAGTTTGTCATATTGTAGTGGTTTGTATGTTGTTGTGATGCTGGAGGCTATGACACCGGTATTTTAAATACCTTCAGGGTCACCCATGGTGGACAGGTTTCAGGCGCTTCCAGACTAAGACAGACTAGGAAGAAGGAGAGGCGGAACACTTCTGAAGGGTTAGACACTGAAAATGCCAGGAATAGCAGTGGAACACTGTCAGATAAAGTACTGGAAATTAAGCCCCTCGGTTGGAAAGTACACAAAATATGACCAGGGAGAGCTGTCTCCTCAAAGTAGAATTGACCATGATGTGAATAGAGCAAAGTTTTTGGGACCTTTTGACATGTTCTTTGGATATGTCAGAAGGGATAAGTCTCTGGAAAAGTACTTCATGCTTGGTAAAGTGAAGGGTCAGAAAAGAAGAGGAAGACACCCAGTGAGATGGGTTCACACAGGGGCACAATAATGTGTCCAAACATAACAGCAATTGTGACGATGACACAGGACCAGGAAGTGTTTTCTTCTGTTGTGTGTAGGGCCACTATGAGTCAGAACCAATTCGAAGGCATCTAACACCAGGAAATAACATTGACACAGAGCTGTTCTTTGTCAGCCCGAGAGCTCAGCTGGAAGGAGAGATGACTGGTGCTCTGCGGGCCAGCATGCAGTCTGAGTCTGCTTGTGGTGACAGCAACACCAGTTGGCAGAGTGAGAAACAGAGATAAGAGGGGTCTTAATGACATCTCTTGAGTCCCTCGGCCCAGACCATCCTGAAGCCCGGATCTGGTCTGGACCATTCTGTGGCATGGATCAGAACATGAGATGCAGTTTGACGCTTGGAACCAAATGAGTCCTAACTAATGTTTCTGTTTGCAGGGTTTCTATGTCTGTGAAATAAAATTGTGTAAGCATAATAATTTCCATAGCATCTGGCACAAATAATAGCTCTACCCAGGCCACTGACCACAAGTCAATTCTGAACTCACTCTCAGTGATGCCACAGGACGGGGAAGAACTGCTGCCCCTTAAGGTTCCCAAGGCTATCTGTACCGAACCAGACTGCCATAAATGTTTCTTTCAGAGTAGCTGCTGGGTTTGGATGGCCAACCTTTAGATCAGTAGCTGAGTACTTTATGCACTCTACGATCAGGACTCTCTGGCACATAGAAAAGACTCTAAATAAAAATTGTGCGGGTTATTATTATTCGTAAAAGGAGCTCTGGTAGCGTAGTGGTTACGAATCGGGCTGCGAACAGCAAGGTCAGCAGTTCGAAACTACCAGCTGCTCCGCGGGAGAAAGATGAGGCGTTCTGCTCCCGTAAAGATTAACAGCCTCAGAAACCCTGTGCAGGGTCGCTATGAGTCGGAACCGACTCCATGGCACACAACAACAACAACATTATTATTCGTATTTCAATATTTTCTGGAATCCTCTTCTTAACTGATCTCTGTGGATAGAAACATGAATTCAGGCATGGTCCACATACTTTAGACATGTGCAGTCTAACGATGGAGACGTACACAGATCATTCGAGTATAATCTAATAAAAAGAGAACTACCAGAATGGAGTGTCCAAGCCTGGGCTTGGGGGAAGTGGGAAGGCAGGAGGAGAGTGACAGCATTTTACATGGGAGACACAAGAAGGCTTCCTGGAAGAAGCGGCCCTAGAGCTGAGGTTGGAAGGACAAGGGACAGTCCTTAGGTGGGGAAGGGAGGTTGTCATCCCAACAAAAGGACTAGTACATACGAGGGTTCTGAGCTCTGATTGGCACCTTCTGGATGTAGGGAGTCTGGGAGTTTAGAATAGTGAAGCCTGCCCACCTGGAGCAGCGCGGTCATTCTCTTGCGGGCTCAAAGACTGAGGGTGTGTGTGTGTGTACTAGTGTATTATGTTAAGTATAACAACCCCGTATAAGATTTTCAGGGAGTTATTAGTGGGTTTGAACTTCTGACCTTGTTGTGCCCAGTGCTTATCTTATAGCACCACACCAGAACTCCACGAGTATATTGTTGCTGTTGTTAAATGCTGTTGAGTAGGTTCTGACCCATAGTGACCCTATATAGGGTTTCCAAGGAACGGCTGGTAAGTTTGAACTGCCAACCTTGCAGTTCAAACCGACCTTGTGGTTGAGTGTTTATCCTACAGCGCCACACCAGAACACCGCAGTATACTGCTGCTGTTGTTTTTGTTGTTAAGTGCTGTTGAGTCGCTTCTGACCCATATTGACCCTGATGAGTTTGAACTGCCAACCTTGCAATTCAAAGCATCCTTGTGATCATCCGACAGTGCCACATCAGAACTCCACGATTGTATTAGCTGTCTCCATTTGGAAATAAGGAAGTTTCACATGGAAATACAAATTGCCAGCTTTTCTGGAGTAATCAGAGAATCTAGGTTTAACATTTCCACCTTCAGAATAGATAGCTGAGGTGAGTATCCACTGTTCCCTATAGGCGAGGGCGCGCCACTGCCGACAGCCAACCCTGGGCTCCATTAGTGTGGACGGGAACAGTGGTGCTTGAAGTGCCTGGCCTTGGCCATACGCATGCCCACAGATAAGGGAGTCCAGGGCTTCGACTCTCCACACCTCTGCTTCCCCACTGACCCCAAGTGCCCTCAGGTCACCTCACACAGCTGCCTTCCCTTCCTGGCCCTGAAAGCATTTGAATTTGGGACTAAGCTCCCCCTCCCACTGGACAATGAGTATTTGGAACATAGTAGCTGCTGAAATAATAGCTAACAACATAAATGATTTTGAGAAAGGAAAGCTAGTTGTCAGTCATAGTCCTGTACCGAATGTTGTAAAGAATCAAGAGACTAGTTGGCATTGGGTAAATGCTTACTCTGAGCCAAGCACTAAGAAACCCTCTGCATGCATTTCCTCTTATTGTTCTCACAACAGCTTTGTAATGTTATTGCCATACCCATTGCACAGATGAACAAACTGAAGCTCAGGAAATGCAAAACTTGAGTCCTGGGGCTCATACCCACCACCCCTGATTGCTGGCTGTTTTCTTGCCTGTGGCCCCCAATGTCCACAGTCCCCAGACCTACCCGACCCTGAAGAGGTGCTCAGTTGCCCCCAGGAAAGTCCTCATGTTCCTTGAAAGCAGCAGGGATCAAGGTAGGCACCTCTGGCTGCGGCGGCAGGGGGGTGGAAGTGAGGGGAGCTGGGTCTAGGACTGGGGCAAACTGCTGCTTCTGCTTTTCCACCGGCTCTGTCCCGCCCTGCTTGGGCCCACATCCTAGGGGGCTGGACAAGTAGCCTCATCCTCACCCCAGGGGCAGGAGCCAGTGGAAGGTGTGGGAGGAAGCAACTTCTCTAATTTATATAGTGTTAGCAGGGAGGAAGAATTGGACCCATTTTACAGAGGAGAAAACTGAGGCCCAGAGAAGCCATTCAGCTCATTAGAACTCTCTTCTGTTTCCCTGTTTCTTCCCCTTCCATAGTTATGCATCCTAAGGGGAGGGGGAAGGCAGCCTGATCCCTGGGTAAGGACCCAGAGATAATAAAGCCCCTTATCACACAATGAGTCCTTGTGTGGCCCTGTGGGATAAAGCACTGGATAGAAAGGCCAGTTTGAACCTCAGGGTCAGCAGTTCAAACTCACCAGCTGCTCCTTGACAACCCTATACAGGGTCTCTGTGAGTCAAAACTGACTTAACAGCACATAACAACAACAGCCACAAGACACTCATCCAGACACCTGTGTGTGCCTCTGGTCCCCTCTCCAGCCCCTTTCCTGTCTTTAGCAGAAGCAGAATTGCTTTCAAATCACAGTCCTGTCCCTCCCTAGCAGGGACCTTGGGCAGGTTGACCTTACTTCTCTCTTTAAAAAGACAGTAACAGTTATCTATTAAATACTAACAACAGTTAACACTTCTTGAGCACTGACTATGTACAGGCACATTTCTAAACAGTTTTCACTTGAACTCACTAAATCCTTACTTTCAACAACCCTCTGTGGTAGAGACTTTTAATATCCCCATTCTATAACTCAGTAAACTGAGACCCAGAAAATTAAGTCACTTCACCAAGTAACTCAACTAGTCAGAGGGCGAGCCATGATTTGTACTAGGTGTGGTGCTGTGGGTTAATACGCCGGACTGCAAGATTGCTTTGAACTGCAAGATTGGTGGTTCAAGCTCCTCAGCAGCTCCTTGGAAACCCTATATAGGGTCGCTATGGGTCGGTACCGATCTGACAGTGCTTAACAACAACAACAGTCTTGCTCCGGAGTCCTGGTGTGGTGCTGTAGGATAAGCACTGTACTGCTAACCACAAGGTTGGCAGTTCATGCTCAACCAGCTGCTCCTTGGAGACCCTATAGAGTGTTGCTATTAGTTGGAACCCACTCAATGGCACTTAACAACAGTCCTGCTCTAGCACCTACCTGGGTGTTTCTGAGTTCCATTCAGGGGCTAATTACCCAGTAAGCAAAGTCAGCATGGTCTTACTGTGCTTACCTACTAATGTGTCTCAAACACTCTATACAGGGTCACTGTGAGTCAGAACTGACTCGACGGCACACAACCGACACACTAATTTGTAGTGAATGGCTAGCAAGGTAAGCACAGACTTACTTGTGTTTACTTGTTGTTGTTGTTAAGTGCTGTCGAGTTCATTCCAACCCATAGGGACTCTGCATAGGGTTTCCGAGGCTGTAAATCTTCATGGGAGCAGAAAGCCTCATCTTTCCCCCACGGAACTGCTGGTAGTTTTGAACTGCTGACCTTGAAATGAGCAGCCCAGTTCGTATCCACTACGCTACCAGAGCTCCTTTGTGTTTATTTACTACTCTTTAATTAACAAAATTCACTACAGATTGTTGTTGTTGTTATTAAGTGCCGTCGAGTCGGTTCCGACCCATAGCGACCCTGTACAGAGTTTCTGAGGGTGTAAATCTTTACGGGAGTAGAAAGCCTCATCTTTCTCCCGCGGAGCAGCTGGTAGTTTTGAACCGCTGACCTTAAGGTTCGCAGCCCGATTTGTAACCACTACGCTGCCAGAGCTCCTACAGATTAGTCGTGAATAAGTCCAAGCACAAATAAGTCCGTGTCTTGCTTACTGTTCATTACAGAATACTAAATAGGCACAAGAAAGCCCATGCTTACATGGCTTACTAGTTCTTCATCCCTGTTAGGGACTGTAAATTTGACAAGAGGCTTTGATTCTGTGGGAAGAGGCTGTGCGGTTGGGAGAGAGACAGGGGCCAGCCAGACGAGGAAGCAGAATCTTTGATGTGAAAAAAATGTGAAACTCTTCACTACAGATTAGGAAGTAAGCACAAATAAGGCTGTGCTTACCTTGCTTATTGGGAAATCTGAAACTGGCTTTACTAGTCTATGAGTCCCAAACCTCACAGGGGCATCAAGTACCTTATAAAGCATCAGGCACTGCAGTTAACCAGTTGAGTTGATTCAACTCCTGGGGGCCTGTGTGTATCAGAATAGATTCATTGGGTTTTCAGTGACTTTTTTTTTGTTTTTTTTTCCCTTTCTATAAGTAGATGACTTTTTTTCCAGGGTGCCTCTATGTGAACTTAAACTACCACCCTTTCATTTGCAGCCAAACTCCTTAACCATTTGTACTCCCAGGGGGTTCAGAAGGCCTGTCCTGAGTTCCCTGCCCTGTAGGCCCTTGGACCCAGTGGGAAAAGCACTAGCTAGGAGGCATTCCATGTTCCCTGTCACTTTTCCCTTATAAGGACTTGTTGGCTGGGCCACTTACTCAGGTCCAAAGGGGCGTGTCCTGTGTCTAGATAGGGGAAGTGACATTCTTATAGTCACACCATTAAATGTGACACCTGCAACCAGAGCCCTCCTAGGACCTAAGGCCTTCCTAAATCATGAGTCCCTCAGGGAGGTCAGGCCTCCTGAGCCACCCAGTCTGCAGAGTGAGCCACACAACATGGACCTGGACCAGGAGCCCAACCTCGCCACCTACAGCAATAGTAAGGAACAAAGGAAGCCTGCTAGGACTTGGGCAAGGTGGAACTGTAGAAACCTTCGAAAAGAGCAGCTTCCACTCAGCTCCAGTGAAGGGATGAAAGTATATGGAAATAGGCCCCAGAGTTGGCCAAGTTTCTTCTTTCCAAAGATGCCAGTCATCCTGGTTTTTAAGCTTTTAAAGACAGCAACTAATGCTGTTTTTAAAAAAATATGTAAGACTACTGTGCAGGTTAATTTCCATCGGTGGGTTTGCAAGCTCTACAGGAGACCTCAACAAGGTTGATGCAGGGAGCTGTGTGTCTGGGCTGGAGGCAGCAGATCTGCACTTAAATGCCCGCTCTGCTGCTTAAGTGCTGTGTGACCTTGGGTAAGACACTGTAGTTCTCTGAATTTGTATGTCCTCTGCTGCAATGAGAGGACTACCGACACTCTTTTTGTGGACTCAGGGGTGCACTGAAATAATGTGCGTAGCCCCAGTAATCTTAGTAGACTCTGACTCATAGCATGTGTGTCAGAGTAGAATTGTGCTCCACAAGGGCTTTCAGCAGCAAACAAGAGACTTCAGACTCCAACTTTAATCCAGATCACCACCTCTACTCATCTCCAAATGACTGTTGACAAGTGAGAATGAGTCATCTTCCAGAAGTAGATTGCCAGACCTTTCTTTCGTGGTGCCAAGCGTGTTAACTGTTTGTACCACCCAGTGCCCAGAAACAGCATATCCAGGTCATGCTCTCGCCCTCTGACCTGGCTAATTACTGTGCCTGAGTGAGCTCAGGCTGCTCAACCCTGATGGACAGACCTCTGGGATGCCCACTGGGCCACACTGTGGTCTGGGTCCATGGTATGGGAAACCCTAGGCACAGTGCTGGCCAGAGGGCAGTGGTCCTGGGTGATGCCCACCTCTTAGAGTCTGCCCAGTTTCTGCTGTGACGCTAGGGAGCTGGCTGGTTAAGGGCCAGGCCAGTCATCTCCCGAAAGCCTCTCTGGATGTGAGATTTAGGAGTGTGGAAACATGTGATCCTTGAAGCAAAGGACAGAGCTAGTTTTGACTTTTCTCCACCCTCGTAGGCAGTCACCTCTGCTTCATCAAGCTGGTCTAACCCCCAAGGCCCACACATCTGGCAGGCCTTCTGAATCATCATAAGCAGAATCTGCCAGCTCTTGCCAGCAGAGCTGCCAAGGAAGATTTTTGAGTGGAGGATTCAAGCCATAAGAAAGAGGAAGAGGAAGTGGTGAGCAGGGTTGGATTACCCCAGATCCAACAGTGCCTTCTAACCAATCTGCAGTGCACAATTTCACCTGTCCCCACCTTGTCAATGATGTAGTGAAACCCACGTGAAATTGCTCTGTACTCCTGGTGTGGCGCTGTGGGTTAATGTGCCAGAATGCAAAGCCGTTTGAACTGCAGGGTTGGTGGTTCAAGCTCACTTAGCTGCTCCTTGGAAACCCTATAGAGGGTCGTTATGGGTCAGAACTGACTCAATGGCACTTCACAACAACAATAAAAAAGTAAGCATAATTAAGCCTGTGCGAACCTTGCTCATGCAAGCCCGTGCATACTGTACTTACTGTGGTAAGCCCTCAGAGCTGCCTGCAAGTCTGGTCTGGAATCAGAATCAGAGATCCATGGAATATTGAACCCAAACCACACCACTGCCATCAAGTTGATTCGAACTCACGACGGCCCTAAAGGACAGAGTATAACTGCGCCTTAGGGTTTCTGAGACTGGAAATCTTTACAGAAGCAGACCACCTCAGCTTTCTCCTTTGGAGTAGCTGGTGGGCTTGAACCACTGACTTTTTGGTTAGCAGCCCGATGCTTAACCCACTGCACCTCCATGGCCCCTTTCCATGGAATATGAGAGCTGTTGCACTTCATGGTGTATGGATATATGATGTTGCCATTGTCCAGTTGGTTTGAGAGTGCAGAGAGGCAGCTAAAATCTTAACAGATAAATCAATGCTATTTATGCAATATAAACAGGACAAGAGCCAGAGCAGTAACTCACAATTTTCAACAAGTGAAATCCAGTTGAATAGAATATTTATTCAGGAGCACTGGTAGCTTAGTGGTTACGAGTCTGGCTGCTAACCTCAAGGTCAGCAGTTCAAAACTACCAGCCATTCCGTAGGAGAAAGATGA